CCGCCCCCCCCCCTGCCCCCCCTGCCACACCCTGTGCTGCGTTCCTGCAGCTGGTCACACATGCAGCTCCATGGGCTGCTGACATGCCTCGCACCTTGTGCACCTCCCATCAGCAGTCTGAGGAGCCGCACGTGTGACCAGCCAAAAGAAAGCAGCACAGGGCATGGCAGCAGTGGTGTGGGGTGGTTGTGGTGGTGGCCACCACGTGCAAGCCCTGCCCCTCCCCTGTCTGGCCAGCCGGGCAGTGTGTGTGTGGCCCACAGAAGGCCATTGCTGCCCTTGCCCTGCCAGCCCTGCTCCTAGGAGCAGGCACAGAGACACACTCCCCCCCCCACCCCACTCTCCATATGGCCCCACCCTGCCCCTTCCCTCTCCCCTGCCCGCCCCTTCCTCCCGCACACACTTATCTGCTGGGGGGGGTGCTTGTGTGTCTGCCTCTCCATGTGCGTGTGTGTCCATCCCCTTCCAGCCCAGCCACAGCAGGCACATGGTGTTGTGCAACTCCTGGGGCAGCAGGATGCAGAGTCCAGTCTTCAGCAGCAGCTGCCTCTGCCCTGTGCACAGATCTGGGGGGCACGTGCCCCCCCAATCTCCACCAGGGTGCTCACAGTGGCAGGAACTGGCCCCCCTCCCCACACCTCCCGGATGAACTGCTCTTGTGGTGCTGTCCCACAATGTGCCCCAGCAGTGCAGCACCTGCCCCAGCTCCTGCGAAGCTTTGTGGCAGAAAGGACACACTGTTGTGGCAGAAAGGACACACTGTTGTTAAAAAAGGTTGAATACCCCATGTAAACACAGGGCCATCCCTAAATTATTACGCTGAAGTGTTAAATATTCCTGCTTTTGCCCAGTTTCCTGTGAAATGTTTTATTATTGAAAATGAGGAATTCTGAGCAGTTCTTTCTCATTTTATTTTGTTGTTTGGAAACTTTATATTATTTCAAATCTCATGATTTAGGGAGTTAAAAGAGAACATGCTTCTTTGGGTTTTGCTTTTTAATAAAAGAATCTTAAACCTCTTTGGGAGAATCAATGGACAGCTAACTTGTATCTTTTAAGCCTGTCTCTGCTGTTAAAATATTAATAGACAAGAGAAAGTGACCTTCAGCCCTGCTGCTGAATCACAGGAAGCTGAAAAGCAGAATCAATACAGCTCTGTGCTAATGATTAACTGATTACAGTTTGCTTTATCTGAAAATGCATCAGCTCGTTTTTCAGCTCTTATTTTCTCACCAAATTTAATTTGGTTGGTGTTCCCATCTGAAAATACTATAGTGTTTAAAGCCCCCATACAGCAAGATACTAAAGAATATGACTCAGGTACCTTTGGATACATGTTTTAAAACCTTGCTGAGTTACAGGCTCATTTCTGCAAGTATCCTAGCCCAGTCAAGCAAAGACCTGAAGAACAAGCTTAAAGTTACATGATTAGTCCTACTGAAATCAAAGGAACCATTTACATGTTAAACTAAGCAAGCATGTGCATCAGGATAGAAGGCCGAACAGCTGGCAGGGCTGAACCTTAAATGAAGATTTTTAAAAGTATGCAGTGGCTTGACCCGAAAGGGCGCTGAGGTCTGTTAGCTCAGCACTGTCAAAGATCCAGCTGCCAGAGAGTGAAAAGATTTTTGCAACAAAATCAAGTATTCTGAAGCCAAATACAAGAGAAGGCATTTGCTACCATAATATCTGTGAAAGTTCATCAGCTGATCTTACTGACACTATACAGTCATTGGTTTCCTAGGTTTCAGATGATTCACTTGTGGGTTATGTGTGCTTGATTTTTAAATCAGAAAAACATCATAAACCATACAAAATAATATGACACTTGAAAGTCTGCCTTGTATGTAATGGTAAAATAAAACTATTCTTAACAATTTCAGCAACTGTTTAAACTAGCAAGGTATTTAGAAAATTCCATAAGATTTCCAAGCATATTTCTGCAACTGTTCCTCCAAATGATATCTGTATTTATTTACAATGTGCCAGTAATATTTGTCCTGTTATAGTTATTATTTAACCATCCTATCTGGTTGCAGGGTAGAAAACTTGCAACCCTGAGCCTTCTCTGCATATACATTTAAGGCCCTCAACAGCTTTTTCCAGTAGTTTTAAGGAGGAAATGATCTTGACTTTGTCTAACTCACTCTTCCATATATACATTCACTGGGAAGAAAACACACTGATGAGGGCAACATGACAAAGTGTATTGTGTCTGGTGCTGAATGAACATATGTGTAATGGTGTTTGGATGAAGTACATCTGATCTGCAAGTGTATGTTATACATCCAAGTGCATGTTTAAGTTGGTCTAATAAAAGATATCAGATTCACCCAAAGAACCTTGTCTGCCTATGTCCTTACGCCAACAGGACTACAACCTACACCCCTATAATACACACAGATCAATACATCCTGGATCTTTGGTTGATACACATTTCTATCAGTCCATTGACTTCATTGGAGCTAATTCATATCAGTCAACGTTCTATCACACCATATGTAAAATCGACTGTTCTCCAGAAGTATGTGCGTATGCCACACTACTCAGATGCTTTTCATCAAATGAAATGGTCCCAAATCTGACAGCCAAAAGAAAATGTGATTTCTACCAGCTTTACCTAACGGTGCTCTAAAATATTGGAAGCCAACCTTTTTGGCAAGTGTGCCACAAACTAGCACTGCACCCCACCCAAGTGCTACTCTGACCCCTTCCCCTGCCAGTTCTGCTTTCTGCTCCCTGCCCTATCTGCTGCTGTCCTACCAGTGCCCTTCCTAACCTGCCCTGTGCCCCACACACAGGTTGCCCGTGCCACTTGTGGTGCACATGCCACAGGTTTACAAATACCCTAAACAGATACTTACCCTGCAAACAAATAATGAACATTCAAGAAGGGTCAGTGGAATACACCGAGTCAGCCTTTTACTTTTGTTTATTTTATTTTAATACTCACTCTCCACTTCCCTCCCTCAGGCATTTGTCTTTCTTGCCTTTTGCTTCACTTCTCCTTGTCCCATTCAGAGTCAGTCTAAGCGGGAGACAGCTGCAATGAAGGACTTAGATCCAAGGGCAAGATGCACCTCATAAATATCTGGTGTCATGAATGAAGCTTTTGATTTTTATTCCAGAGCACCAGCTAACCATTAGCTTTTTCTTCTTCTCTTCACAGAGATATGGCTACGGTGGGTGGGTCCAGTTGGATCACCATTGCAAGGTATGCTGGGTTTTTTTCTCCAAAGCATTATTGTTATTGACAGTCTTCCATACATTTCAAATGGCAGTGTTCCAATAAGACTGATGATAAGTGTTTAACATACATTTCCACTGAAATACAACCCGATAGGTAGGAAAATTACTCCAAGCACTTACATATCACTATAGATTTTTCTGCTGAAGAGTTGCAGTAGGGTATAAGGTCACCTCACTTCCTTCCTAATCTCAGTTTGAACCATTATCCGGCAGTCTTCATCATAGCCCCAGCCTAACACTTAGAACAGATACTTTTAAAAACAGCTTTTAATTAGATGTGGCAGCAGAACTTAGACCACATTAAAAAAAAAAAACCCTCCTTTTTTTAGCAGAATCACCAAATTTTGAACTTACCCTAGAAATTGACACAGATCTTATCATATTATAGGGCTTTCTAGATAAAGAAGCTAACATAATGGAGCTATCTCATTGTATTTTATTAAAAGTTAAAGAACTAGAACATAAAAGAACTTTCAAAGGAAAGAAAAGTAATTCATTCTTCAGTTAAGCATCTCTGTGACGTGACCGGTAAAAGGAGAAACATGGGTTCATTAGGAACAATATGCAGCTGTTGGGGTCATGCTATACAAAAACATAGACCTGAACTTACTTTTTCTTATAGTAAATGAAAAGCAGAATCATTTTCATCTTGCTTACACCCCTTTTTTATACCACTAAGTCTACTGACTTCCATGAAAGCACTCCTGATTTACACCAGTGTAAATGAAATAAAGTGTGGCCCTGAATGGCTCCGGGGTATTCTGCCTGTCTCTCTCTATTCATAGCCCGATCCTACGTCTGCTGCAGTCTGTGGGAATTCATTGTTAACTTCCAGGGGAACTGAGTGGGGTCTTGGAATTAAAAACCTGATTCTGATATCAATCACAGTGTTTCAAATCAGGAATAGCTCTGTCCAAATCATCAACAATAATGCAGTCTAAAACTTGTGGAAGTAAGATCAAAATCGGGCTCCGTCTGTCACTTGCTTAAAGTGTTCATGAAATTAGGAATCAGATATCTCCTAAGCATCTGTTGGATCTAAGCAACTGTGCATCCTACTTAAAACATTCCAGGGCTTGCTTGTGCTCAGATTTGTGCAGAGAAAGTTCATTGTGTTTCATGCAGGATTTCTATCTTTTCAAATTTGATTTTGTTCCCACTTGGAACACACCCCAGATTTTGCAAGTCCTCTATGAAAGGGAATGGAAACCTTGCTCCGAGCAGTGCAGCTGGTAACACCCCACTAATTTGTGGACTCTAGAAGCTCTGAGATCCCTGCCTCCAAGGCAGTGAAGCAGGTGGGCTGCTGAGGCACCGGGCAAGTAAATTGGCAGGATATCATATAGATTTTGAAACATGCCCAACAAGCAGGAGGATTCCAACAGACCTCTGCAATGGTTCTGCCAGTATTTCATCAATACAGAACCAGCTCAGCTGGGTGTATTTCTTTTAAAAAATCAGCAATTTCTGACCAAAAAAAAAGTTTCATCAGATTTTTCTTACCATCTGTGTCATGCATAATCACAAGTAGAGATGACCTGCCTCAGAAGTCAATAGAGGATGTGTCATACTTCAGAGGTAAAAAAAGGTGCTACTTGCAGCACATGAAGAGAGAGAGAGAGAGAGTTAGTCATGTTAGTCTGAAGTCAGGCAGAAGACAGGACAGGGTGGCACCTTAGAGACTAACTGATTTAGTGGCATACAAAATCTTATGCCTCTCTGACTTAGTCTCAAAGGCAGGGGCAGGCAAAATACAACCTGCAGGCCACATCCAGCCCACCAGGCACTTTTATCCAGCTCTGGCACCCACCAATAAATTGCACCCTGCCAAGTCCTTCTGCCCATGTAGACACACCCCACAACATACCTTATCGTGCCTCGCTCCTTTGTGGGCATAAGGGTCTAGACTGGCCAGCATGCAGCTTCCAGGCAGGGATGCTGCTGCCGCTGCTGCAGCTGCCAGGGGATCTGCTCAGCTTCCCCAGTGGCTGGCACTGCTGCAGGGGGGCCTGCTCAGCTTCCCTGGCTTCCTGCTTGCTCTGGGCAGCAAGTAGGGAAGCAGTGGAGGCAGGGGGGAGCTGCATATGGGCGGGGGTACAAAGCATGAGGCTGGGGCTGGGGCCAGATGGAGCCTGTACCCAGGGGGCAGTGGCAGCATGGAGCTCAGGGGGCAGGGGGCAAGGAAGTCAGCCAGCTCCAGCGCATGGTGCATCCCTCCAGTCATGTGCGAGTGCAGGGGCTGCCTGTGCACGATAGAGGCAGCTCAGCCAGGCTGCGTTCCTCACTGCAACGTGCAGTGCTGGCCAGAGCCATGCACCACCAGGCACCAGCGCCTGCTCCGGACACAAAGACCCCCACCTGCTGCTGCCGCGGACTCCTATGGGGCTGCACACCATGGGGGATGCAGAGGGGGGTCCCCATACTCCCCCACCCTTCCTCACATCCCACAAATGCCACACCCCCATACCCTGCCCCCACAACTGCCCACATATACCCCCCTGAACATACCTTATTGCTCCCCCAACACACAGCCACACCCCCTCACAAGCCCCACACTCCACCGCATGCACACACACACAATATACAACACTGAACCTTTTATTTTTGAGTTATCTCCTCTATATACACTATGCAAACACAAATCATGACAAAAATATTTTTTGTAATAAAATTAAAATACGTTATAGTAGGTGTTTGACTTTTAGTGTATAATTTGGGGTTTTCTGGTTCCACGATGGCAACCACCCCCCCCCCCCCCAAGGAATATTTCTTGGGGGCAAAGGGAGGGACTTCTGGTGGCAAAGATCAGGGGTTAGGGGCAGGGCTTCTGGTCCCAAGATGGCAACCCAGGGGCGGGGCAACTCTCAAGGGGCGGGGCTACCCATGCAGCCCTTGAAAACTCACCAAACCTCACTAAGTGGCCCTCCAGCTGAAATAATTGCCTGCCCCTGCTCTAAGGTGCACCGTCCCTGGCTTCTGCCTGACTTCAGCACAGTGAACTTAGCTGCTGTGAAAGGGCATGTGCTGTGGTGAGCTAGCTCCACCCCTCCCTGGAGTAGTCTTTGCATCAAAGAAGTCCAAGTGTTTTCATTGTGTCCAGGCTCCAGGAGAGAAACCTCCATGTATCCCAACCAGACCTGCATAGAGCTATGAATAACAGAAATCTTAACAAAACATACAAGAATGGTGTCTTGGTAAAAATTATAATAATTAAGAAAATATTTCCATACTATTTAGACTGCCATATGGCATTTTAGATACATTCTCTGACCTGAAGAGCTGTAAATGGAAATAATGCAAAAGAATTAGAATTAAGAGGCAAGCTAATTTCAGGGTCTTGTTTCAACTGAAATGAATAAGAGGAGTCTTTCACCAACTTTAGTAGGTATTGGCCCAGTTCCCAGGATTTTATTTAGGACAAGAATGGAAGAGTGGGTGTTTGCAGGGGGAAGATGAGGAGATGATCATGAGATAAGGCATTGAATTAGGCCTCGGGAGATCTAAATTCATTTCCTACCACAATCACCTAACTCTTGTACTTGGGCAAGTGCTTCAATGCACCATATACATCTTAGTAGTAAAGACTTCCCTGTCACACAGGAGGGTTGTAAGGATACAGTTTATTAATGTCTGCGAGGTGCTCAGATACCATGCTGATGAGGGCCTGGTGAGGACCTGGGTGGACAACTAAGGAAGTGTCTAAAGGAAAATAGAAGTACTTGATGGATAAAAGTAAGAAGTGTGATCTAAATCAGGGCTGTCCAGCTGGTGGCCTGCAGACCCCATGCAGCCCATGAGGTGTTAATGTACAGCCCCTGAGCCACTATCTGGCCACCACTCCCCCGACTGCTCTAGCTGCTGCAAGAGAGAGGTCTCTAGGCTCCCCCTCCCTCCCTACCTCCCTCTGCTCTTGCTTCCTGTTCTCCTAGGGAGTGGGCAGATACAGCCCATGGCCTGTAATGTGTTACAATGCAGAAGAGGTGAGGGCTGCCCACCAATGTGGTACAACAGCCAGCCACACCTACAGTGTAACAATGGAGGGGTAGGGTGGTCACCGACATGTATGGTGTGGGGGGAGGCCCTGTTGCACACAGCAAGTGGCCTGGGGGGTCTGTGGCTCACACTAGCACAGTCCTTGTGGCACGTGGCCCCCAGGTGCTTAGACACTGAACAGCTCTGATCTAGATATAGTCAGCAGTGAGACACAAGGAGCTAAACTGAGAACATAAGGAAAAGGAAAGTCCTCTATCCAGCAAAGAATTTAAGTACGTTTTACTTCAAGAATTTGCACAGTCCCATTTAAAACATCTAACTAAAAAGAGTTGCATTGTACAGTGATTGAGTGTACATGTGGTGGGCTTAACAAGAAACTGTTAGGTTTAATCTGGTTCCGTCTTCTGAGGTTCAAACACAACCTTCTCGTGGGAGATCTGAATTGAAAGATAGAAAGACAAGTGGTAATTGAGTGAATAAAGTTACATTGCTTGTGTCTTTCAAGATGATGTCTTAACTTCCTTTTCAAAGTTTAGCCCAGTGAAGATAAAAGACGTATTCTTTATTTTTACTTTACCTTGACTCATTCCAGTGCCTCTCAATAGTGCTATAACTATTGATAAAACTTAGCCTTAGATGTTCCAAGCTACCAAAGGAGTTAGATACTTATTGCCTATTAATATTACTAGGAACTAAACATCTAACTCGCTGGCACCTTGGGAAAAAAAAAATCACAGCCCATGAGTTTGTTATAGAAAAAAGCTAACCAGATTATTAAAATGTGACATCTTATCAAAATAACATCCAATATCATGCACATTATTGTGATTTTAAATACACAGTTAGCAATCTTGTAAGAGCACTATGAGCTTGGAAGGGAATCCCATCTAGTGCACCTCTAAGGTAGGATCATGCAGTCCTTAATAGGAAATATATTAAAACCTGAAAAAATGTCTCCTAAAATAAGAGGAAAAAAGAAGGCTCCTGATAGCAAGTCACCAAGACTAGGATAGACACCATAAGCAACACTCAGGCAGTAAAATTAATCTAAGAAAGGTTAGTTTGATTAGTAGAATATCAAATATCTATGGGCACGCTAGAAGGGAGGAAGAGGCTGCAATTGGACCTGGACAGGTTACAGGGGTGGGCGGATGAGAACAGGATGGGATTCAATACTGACAAGTGCAAGGTGCTGCACCTGGGGAGAAAGAACCAGCAGCATACCTACAGGCTGGGGAACTCCCTTCTCGTCAGTGCAGAGGCAGAAAAGGATCTTGGTATCTTTATTGATGCCAAAATGAACGTGGGCCAACAGTGTGGGGACACGGTCAGGAAGGCCAACCGCACCTTGTCATGCATCCACAGACGCATCACGAGCAGGTCCAAGGAGGTGATCCTCCCCCTCTATGCGACACTGGTCAGGCTGGAGTTGGAGTACTGCATCCAGTTCTGGGTGCTGCACTTCAGGAGGGATGTGAACAGCATCGAGAGGGTCCAGAGGAGGGCCACTCGTCTGATCGGGGGGCAGCAGGGCAGGCCCTATGAAGAGAGGCTAAGGAACCTGAACCTGTTCAGCCTCCACAAGAGAAGGCTGAGGGGGGATCTAGTGGCCTGTTACAAACCAGTCAGAGGGGACCAGCAGGCATTGGGGGAGTCCCTGTTCTCCTGAGCACTACCAGGAGTGACTAAAAATAACAGTCACAAGCTGGCAGAGGGTAGATTCAGACTAGACATCAGGAGGCACTACTTCACTGTCAGGGTGGCTAGGATCTGGAACCAACTTCCAAGGGAAGTGGTGCTGGCTCCTACCCTGGGGGTCTTTAAGAGGAGGTTAGATGAACACCTTGCTGGGGTCGTTTGACCGCAGTACTTTTTCCTGCCATGGCAGGGGGTCGGACTTGATGATCTGCTCAGGTCCCTTCTGACCCTACCAACTATGAAACTATGAATACTATTAAAAAGTAGAGACAATTGTTAATACCTCCAATGAGCCATTAAGTCATTTGACTCTTTCAACTGCCGGAATAGCAATACAACAGCTGTTGTACAGTGAAGCAGGAATCAAAGCAGGGTGCTTCTATTCCAGGAAAAAAATTGAGGGGGAAAGGTACATGTTGCATGTGAGAAAATATGGTAATTATTGTTTGCCCATGCAAGAGTAGTCTTGTGATAATAGATTTTAAATAAAGCCCATTCAGTGGATTATAACCAGTGAATTATAACCAGAGCACCCCAAGAGATGACAAGGTCAAATGGTTATACACTCCTGCAAGACCGTTTCAGGCTGGCCATAAGGAGGAATTTCTTTACTGTCCGAGCCCCCAAGGTCTGGAATAGCCTGCCATCGGAGGTGGTTCAAGCACCTACTTTGAACCCCTTCAAGAGAAATTTGGATGCTTATCTTGCTGGGATCCTATGACCCCAGCTGACTTCCTGCCCTGGGATGTGGGGCTGGACTCGATGATCTTCCGAGGTCCCTTCCAGCCCTAATGTCTATGAATCTATGATTCTCTGCCTCTTAATTCCCACACACAGTTGTTAAAGCAAAAAACACCCAATGATGTTAGGCAAGGATGTAATAGAAATCTTCAGCTCAGTAAATTGATCTAGCCTTAACAACGTAGGTCTCAATATCTAGTACAGAGGCTCCAATTCTGCAGGCATTGCTCTGGGAAAATTTAAATTTTCCTACAGATTCTCGCAAAACTTCTGAAAATAGCTTCCCAAGTAGCCTTAAGTATAAAATTGCTGATAAATTTTTCATTTAAAAAATGCATTATGCATTTTGGTGGTAGTGCCTAGACATGACAGCAGTATGACTGGATTATCCACACACTTTCCTGGGCCAAATCCTGCTTGCTTTACCTGTGTGAGTAATCCTATTGATCCAAGTGGGTTCTCTCAGGTGAGTAGGAAGAACTGCTTTGTTTTGTTATAGGTGCTTCAGCTTACACCCAAGTCTAACGATTCAGGCTTGATCTCTAGTACATCCGTGATTACTGAATCTTATGTTAACCCAGATGAACAGAACAGTCACGATTCTCTAATTCTTTAATTAGACTGGCACCTGGGCTATTAGAAACTCTTTCCTACTGCATAGCTTGATATGGCATTAAGGAGTTGCTATTTTATCTTTCAGCAGCTGTGTGTGAACACTAGAGAGGTCACTGGTGAAATTGCAATCCATCTAACATTGTTTTCAGTATTAATAGAAGAAAATACATCTGGGTCCTTTAGAGGTTGTGCCTCAGTGAAATCTGAAAAAAAGAATTAAAAGTCTACCGTGCTCACAAAAACACTCCCGGTGGTAACCCAGTAAAGGACGCATTGTACATTTTTATGTGATAAAATACTTAATTTTACTCGGTCCTTCTTCCTTTACTTACTCCCGTAAATATCTTGCTACCTAAAACACAATAATCTGTAGTGGGCTGATATTAGATTGTAAAAAACAGATTGGATTGCATGGGTAAGGCCTCCCCTTCTGACTGTTTGGAAAATCAATTTTAACAGACTTGAAAGGATTTTGCCAGAGGAGCAGGACTGTGCAGTTGTAATTACTGGCTGTAATATTTGGAATCATTTTCTTGAATCATGATATTGCTACCAAGCTATTTTGGCAGCCTGCCAAGCCAGCATAGTAAAGTAGGGAGAAAAGAGGTTTTAAAATATTTATCAGGGAAATATACTTGTTAATGATGTATGAAGTTAATACTAAATTCAAGGTTAAAGACAGAGAGGAGCCACGCACCCAAGTTTGCTTGCTACAAGCAGTACAATATTATTAATTTATGAAAATTTATATCTATGTTCATAATAGCAAGGCAGACTCTGAATTAACAGTGACTCTTTATAATGGAAAAGATGTACAATGCACACTGAGTAAAATCACCTCCTCTCCAGGATCTTAAATGAATTAGTATGGGAAGGAAGCCACAAAATGGATGTTGGGACAATTAGAATTCCCCTCCCGAGACAGACAATTGGTCCTGAGGCAGCCCTGTACATACTTGCCATCCACTGTGCGCCCTAGGAAAATAGCTGCTACCCTTCGACATCCCTTACAAAGGGGTTCTCACAGTTCCCTTTGCACAACCAATCTGGTCTGTATCCCTTCCTCCCTACTTGCAATGCAAATCCTCCACTACAGCCTGATTTTCATCTATTCCCACTATTTAACAAAAGTGGCAAAATGCATACCGTGAAGCACAGGCCTTGGAGGAATTGTTGGGTCATATTAGGTCAATTTGTTCAAAGCTAAAAACAAGAGGAATATTGGCTGTTGCCGTTCCTTTTGGTGCTGGATCATAGGCTCTAATGATATGTCCATAGGAATGTGATCGTGAATAACTAATATTTTCCACAGCAAGACCATAACTACTCACTAATGTCTTGGGTCACTTGTCAAATGAGTCAAAAATCAAAGTGAGAAGTGCTGCTCTGCTCTTGCTGCTCACAATTAAAGAAACACTGTCAAAAGTTAACAACCTGGGTAATATTTTGATATACACTGGTGTAACTAGGGCTGGGAACCACCCTGGGCACCAATGGGGATAGTGGGTGAGAAAAAAATCTTCTGCTGTAGCCACACAGTTATGATCCTAGCAGCAGCAGCAATCAGAGGTCATTGTTGCCCCTGCGTGCAGCAGTTTGCCCTGTCACTTTCTTACGCTGCTGCTGACATGAAATGCCTTAAAGAGTGCATTTAAAACAGATTACTATAGTTTACATAACCATTTTATATGGGATTTCTCCCCATATGCAAATACTTCAATATTCTATTTTTGTTTTAAATCACAATGAAAAGGTGATTGGCACATGTAGACAAGGTTTTTTGGGTAAATCTGATATCTTTTATTAGACCAACTAAAATAGTTGGAAAAACTGTTCTTTGTAAGCTTTCAGGTACAAACACCCTTCTTTAGGCACATGTATGCATGCAGCTTCCATTGCAGCTGATTGTATCTCACTTTCACTGAGTGAGTATGAGACAGTGGCATTGATTTGAATGGAGGGATTGTGAAACCTGTTCCTGAAGTCAATTTGAGTCCATTAACTTTAAAAGAAATCAGTGCTAAACTATGCACGTTTATGATGGACAAGTTTCTGTTAAAAAAACTGTTTTTGGTTTCAAGTAAGCAGCCTGGCTATCTTTCAGAGGTATTGTAAACACTTTCTATTTGGGCAGCCTCAGCAGGATGGGTTAAGTTATGAGACATTGTTTGAGGCATTTGTTCTACATATTTTATTTTAATATTTGTATTTGTTTTAACAATTCATCTGCTTTTTATTTTAAGCCATCCTGACTTTTTTGAGAAGGGCAGCATACACCACTAATACATTAATAAATATGGTAAATAACAAGGTGATTATTTTTTTAATTATGGAAAAGTTACCTTGATGCTGTTCATCAATGTACAAATTATATTTTAACTATTCGGGGGGGGGGGTTATTTTCTATGGAATAAAAATATGGGGAAAAGTTCTGTCATTGGGTGTGCAAAAGGAACACCACGTACTCACTTGAAAGTAGAATTTAACATTTTGATACCTCTGTATTAATAGGAAATTCATTTTATAGGGACAGGCAAAAATGATGAAAGAGGGAAAAGTTTTCAGAGTTATCCAGGAGAATTGCTGGAATCCAGAGGTTCGGATTAAAGAGATGAATCAGTCAGGTAACTCCATAAAGTAAATGTAATAATGATGATATATCAAGTGGAACATCAATAACTTAAACTTCTGTGTCATCTCAAAGCATTTTATGATAATGTTAAAACTAAAAAGTCTTACAGAGTTATGAATTAGTTTAAACCAGTTGAAAGATGATGAAGAATAACATGCTTTATGTTTAGATTCTGAAAGGTCAGATTTTCATACCTTTACTCTTATAGGGTGTGCAACCGGTGGGTTGCGTGCGGGGTACGGTGACCCCAGCCCCAGTGAGGGGGCGGCCCCAGTGAGAGGGGGCAGTGGTGAGAGCAACCAGTGGGTTGCGTAGCCCCGGTGCGAGGGGGCACTAGTGAGAGAGGGCGATGATGAGAGTCCCATTTAAGGGAGGAGGTGTGTGGTAGTGCACTGTGTGTGCCCGCCACTTGCAACCAGTGGGTTGCATAGCCCCGGTGTGAGGGGGCGGTAGTGTGAGAGGCCCCAGTGTGAAGGGGGCCAGCGACGAGGAGCCCGAGAGGGGCCGTACATCGAGCCCGGTAGAAGGCCAGCACAACAATAGGCCGCGAGGGGCAGGGTCCTGTGGTGGTCAGCCCGAAGGGGAGAGTACCCTCGACTGGCCCATGCTGGGGCCAGGACCACGAGGGTCAAAAGGACCAGGGGCCCACCGCGAGGGATGCCCAAGAGCCGGGGGCCTGGGGTCCCGACTGGCCTTGAGGTGGGCCAGGGCAAGACGCCGAAGGTTACGAGGGAACCACACCCGAGAGGGGAAGATAGCTTCGGGAAAAGGGGATAGCAGGACGGTGAGCCCAGTTGAGAGGATAGCAGTGCATGGGGCCTAAAAGACCGGAGGCTCGAGAACATGGGGAGCCCCAGTGTGAGGGGGAAGCGATGAGGAGCCCCTGTGTGAGGGGGCGGCCCCGGCGAGGGGGTGGTGATGATTTAAGGAGGGGAGGTGTGTGGCAGAGCACAGGGTGTCTCTGCCACTTTAAGGGCCTGGAGCTGGCAGCCTCCAGGTGCCTGACGAGGGCAGCCATTTTG